ATTTGAGGAGAAGAGCAAAGTCTCTAGTGTCAAATGTGCCTATGACTTGCAGATGTTGCTGCTGAACTCCTTGGTCAGGATTTAAAATGAAAGCAGGGAAAATCTCAGCGTAATCATGTTCCTGCAAGATTAGAAATACATTGTTATAAGAAAGGCAAGAATCTGAGAAAAGGGACAGAAAGCCAGAAAAAGTTAAGTAGATCCAAAGAAGCAGGGATTGCTTTCCTGCGTTCTGGATTCTGGCTTTGAGGCCTGATTTCCTGTTCCACATATGTGCGGCCTCTTTTAACATGCAGGGATCTGAAGAAAAAGGAGACCTTTCCATCCTGGCTTTCTGAATGAGGAAATGTGGAAGAGACATCTGATCTATTTAGATGGCGAGATGCACGGGTGAAAATGACATGTCTACTTCTTCCTTCTTTGAACACGGAAAGCACTGAAAGGTTATTGCCTGGTTGGGTAGGAGACTGACATTTGCCAGGGCCAAACCAACTTGGATATAGAGATAATTCAGTACACACCCTAGAAGTCTTTGTCCTTCCCTGCCCCCCCGCCCCCCCCCAAATATTACATTCCCTTTTATTGGAGGCTCAGGATCCCCAAGGCAGCCCAAAGCCACTTGGACTTGCCATTGGTGTACAGCAATAAAGATGACAAGGATGGGAACATTTAATATTAGTAAGGAAGTCTTGTTCAGTGTTCCTGATCTTTTTAGTTTGGTCTCCTCCTATGCATCCAGGATAGACTGAGCTTTTCCCCCCCTAAGATAGAGCTAAATTTAGCTTTTTCTTTAGACTTCCACTTTTCAGTAAGGAGCTTAGAGTGCAACGATAGTAAAATCCTGCTTTTGACCCCAGAAAGCCTGCAGTTGTCTTTATTGGGTGGTCAGAATTTGTTTCTGATTCTGGAAGTTGGCAGGCTGTAGATTATATAAAGAAGAATCAGTATCACTTCCAATTGTAATCACAGATTAGTTGAATTGATGAACTGATATAGACTGAAGCTCTCAAGTGGAATGAATTGGCATTCAGCTTCTGAATTCATTGGAGAAAATAAATGCCATAATCTCAATCAGACAGTGGATCTGATAAATAGCTCTTCCTGCAGCCTCTAATGTATGTGCCCTTCAGACAGACAGCTGTCAGTATGATAGCTGTAACTCCCTCTGAAACACTCCGTCCATCAAATGAAATTAAGAGTGGCATTTCTTAAGCTTAGCAGAATTCAGTGGGTACTTGTATTTTCACTTTTCAGAATACACCTTTCTGTTTAATCCCTTCTTTATAAGTTTCTAACAACAGGAGGATGATACAGCATACTCACATACACAAACTTTCTTTTCCTCCTGTTCTATTAAATTAAAATTCCTTAAGTGTTTATGGAGAACTGAGAAAACCTTAGCTCTGAGGAGCTGGTACTCTTTCCCAAAAATCTGAGCACAATTGCTGCCTGTTTCCTTTCTCTCCAGAAACAGTTTAATCCCAGAGGCAGGAATGCCATAACACTTATTCTCTGAACCAGATGACAAAATGTATAATAAAACATAATTGATGATTTCTTGCTCATAAATCATACCTTTAAATTTGGCCCAGGAAAACCACTTCTTTCTTTGCCTAAATGCAGTTATCTTTGTCTTTAGGATTGAATGCATCAGTTGTTTGGTATCTATCCACTCAATGGCAAAGCATTTGCAAAAAAGAAAAAAAAGCTTGCTGAATGGCCAGGGGAAATTAAGGCATAGTTAATGACTGAACCGTACCTAAAGATTTAAATTTAGATATTATTGTGTTTTACTTAATATAAGACACCTTGAGTGCTTATCCAAACATGAAAACAAAGTTTGTAACTGAATAAAATATAAAGTATCATGGTTTCTGAATTATCCATAAGCAGCAGTTAGCAAGTCTTGAGCCATCCCTTTTTCTATGACTGTTTTACTCCCTGATTGGCAATAATAATGTTCTCACCAGACAAGAATATTTCTAGTTGCCCATTTATAGCAATAGCACTTAGACCCTCTAAGCAATATTATCAGCATATTTCCCCTGACAATCTGGGCCCTCAATTTACTGACCAAAGAAGGATGGAAGGCTGAGTCAAGCTTGAGCCTGTCAGGACTGAACTCCTGGCAGTGGGCAGAGTTAGCCTGCAATACTGCATTCTAACCAGTGTGCCACCGTGGCTTTTATTCTATAATGATTTTAGATTTGCCTCAAGCAGCTGAATCTTGCTTCCCTTTCCTTTATGTTACAGGTCATTTTCAGGCTCAAAACAGCCAAAATTTGCCATTAGTTGAAGTTATCCGGTACCACTTTTGTGGAATAAGACCCTTAAAGCTTACTGTCTCCTCTTTATGTTCATATATAGAACTATGATGTTGGTCACCTTGGGAAACAAAATTAGTTATATGAATTATCTCTATTATAGCACTTCACAAACAAATGCGCAATTATGTGAAGTGTGAATTCCTCAGATGAGTATAGTAGCTTGGTATCTGAAAAATGTTTATTTGCCAGATATTTGTGAAGTGGTTTGTAGTTTTCTCCCAAGTTCAGTGGAGACATTTATAAAATTATTTTCCACTGCCAAGAAAACAAATACAGGTATAATCCTCATTTGCTGACCATAATTGGTACTAGTAACTGAATTCTTAAGTAAAGTGTCTGCTAAGTGAAACTGTGACTCTGCTTATGATCTTACTTCAGCTTTCTTTTGCTTTATGCAAGTCTTAAATGCAAGGATTGACCCTCAAGTTCTTTTTCATCACCATTCTAACTATGAATGATTGCTAATTGGGGCAGTTGCTAAACAAGGTCTACCTTTGTGGAAAGAAGAACATATTGTTCAAGGCAGTCCCTGTCAATCTCATTTGGCTTGATCAGGGTTGAATATGATCCTAATGAAGACATGGTTGGAGCAAAGGAAGGTCAGTGCAAAAGCAATGGAGTTTGGCCAAGGAATTTACTGGGTTATTCTGGCATTTATTCAGCCACAGAGATATTCTACCATATCTACTATCTTTTTTTTCCTGATTTGCCACTGCTAGAAAAGGTCATCTCAGCAATTTTAGCCACCATAATGTCACAAAGGGGCTTAGTGCTGCTTATCAATGGGCTGGCATTTAAATGGGACAGCAAAGACCAGAGAATGTATAGCATTTATGCCATGAGATTGATCATTTGAATTAAGGGAAATTAAGGTGCTATGGCTGCATTTTCAAGCCATACTTTGGTCATTTAAAAAGTGTAAAATTGCCAGAATGAATGATAAACAAAAAAATGAAATTGGTTCTGTGATATAGCAGGTAAGTCACTTCTACCTCCTTTTCTAATTACGGAAAGTGGGGAGGAGGTCAACATGCTATTCATGGGCCTTTGGAATACTGCTTGTAGGAACCGTATCCAAATCAATGCTTTTTTAAAAAGAATGCTCTAGAGCAGGGGTGTCCAACCTTGGCAACTTTAAGACTTTGCTGGCTGAGGAATTCTGGGAGTTGAAGTCCACAAGTCTTAAAGTTGCCAAGGTTGGACACCCCTGCTCTAGAGGATAACAGTGCCAGTGATTCCTCATTATAGAAGTAGTGGGCATGAACCCAGAGGAAATCGTGTTCAATAGGAACAACATACATTCTAAAGGTTGGGTCTCTGACATCTGAAGAACATCTGGACAAGAAGTTCCCTCAGATCAGCCTCCCTCCAGGTACATTGGATCAAAATTAATTCCTGGCCAGTTTTGTTTGTTTTCAGAGAAGCTGATTCAAAGATGTCCTTATCCTGTACAGTTGGATGGGGAAAACCTACAGGATCACAGGCTCTAGTAGCCATTGGCCAATACTGCCTGCCTTCTGGCTTTGTTAGATTCTCCACCTCCAGCAACAGTTCTCTTCCCTCTTGCCCACCCCCCTCCCCCTTTCAGTTGGACCCAGGACTTGCCTCCCCCCACCCCTTGACAGCCCTCCTGTGTTTTTAGCAGCTGGGAGAGACAGAAATTCAACAGATGAAATGTTTGCATTTTTTTAAAGTATTTCTATTATAGCCAGGCTTGGCTGAGTGGATAAGGACATAGGTAGTTAAATAAAATGACAGCCTCTCCTAAGAACAGGTTCACAGTGTGTGTGTGTGTGTGTGTGTGTGTGTGTGTGTGTGTGTGTATGTGTGTGCGGTGTAACCTGCTCTTCTGGGGGTAGATTAAGGTTTGGTGGAGCGTGTCAGTTGCCCTGCACGGATCTTTCAGAAGCGTGAGAGGTGTGTAAGCAAGCGCTAACACTTGTTGGCGTGGTTCACTCAGTCTTGGATGCGCCTTTGCCTGCACGGCCTCCTATACTCCGGGATCCCCGCCCGAGGCCGAGTGGGTAGCGCTGGGGTGGCTCCTGCCCCCGTGTGGGAGGACGTCTATTCTTGCGCCAGTTTTCCAACGACGCCGGCGTGCGCGTTTGTATACAGGTGCACGTGTCTCCCAGCCCCTGGAGACACGTGTCTGAGGGAAATTCTTTTTTCCCCCTCTTCTCCCTGAGTCCAGTGCAGGGGAGCGCTTCTCACTCTGCCCTGGACGGGCGCACAGGACTAAACCCTTCCGGCGTGGAGCGGTGCGAGAGGGAGCTCAAGGCGGCCCCGGGGAGAAAGGCACACAGCCCGGAGACGGAGTCTGCTTCTTCGCCTTTCGCCCCAGCTACAGGCGGTCAGAGAAGGAGCCCGCCCGCCCGCCCGCCCGTGAGAAGCAAACAAGCGGCGGTGCACAGAAGCTGGCGGGCGAGGTGGGGGAGCAGCTCGGTGGCTGGGAAAGAAGGCGCTTGCGCTTCTTCTGTTGCCGGGGAACTGGACGCCGGCTGCCCCTGCCCGTCCCGCGCCCCCGCCAGGAGAATCTGCAGAGGGGGAGGGAGGCATCGGAACCGGGCGCCCCGGGCGCGCCACCTGGCAAGGAAGAGAACCAGTAAAGCGAAGGGAAGTGTGCAGCCAGGTCCTGTCCTGTCCCGGATCCCCGGGGCGTCTCCGCTCCGCAAGATGCGCGGCAAGAGCAGAAAGGAGAGCCTTTCCGATTCCCGGGACCTCGATGGTTCCTACGACCAACTAACCGGTGAGTTCCCCCCAAGCTGGCAGCTCCTTCTGCTGAGAGCCGCCGCCTTGGCTTGAAGAGGGGCTGGGAGGGGGAGGGCTAGGAAGATGCAGCATCCCTTTAACAGCAAACTGGGTGGAGTGTGAAAGAGGTCCCACACAGTAACTGTTGTCGACCCACCGCCACCTGCCAAAGGTGGAGTTTTCCTCCGTGTATCCTTGTCACCATCCAGGGAGGGGTTCTTTAGTCTATTTCTGAGCAAAACTTGCACAAAGTGATGGTGCCGAGGAGAGGGGGGTTGGGTTACGGCGCTGATTTTGTCTCTTGACATTTCGAAGTGGGTGGAAGGTTTATGTTTGTATGTGTGCATGGCTGAATGGATTTTACAGGCTGGAGAACGGAACCTTTTTATTGCCTGGCTCCTTAAAATAGTCCAGGATCTGAAGATAATGTTGGCTGCGATGCCCTCCCCCAAGGCTCCGAGGAGATAGAAGTTGGATGAGATCCCCTTGAGATGGGCAAGGAAGTCCTCAATAAAAAAATACAATTCACATCAGAGGGAATTCATCTACTGTACGTCTTTCTGCTGGCTGTGTCCTGTATCAGAAAGATGGGTGGCATAGAAATTTAATAAATAAATATTATTTATTAAAGGGCCTTCTTAGCCGACTACAGAAAACACAGATCCCCATATCTATGCAGCGGGCTAGTGGGCAAGACGTCTTCCCTCTATCCGGAACGAGCAAAATCCCTTCAAATCTGGTACTGTCCACGGTGCTGGAGTTTATCAGTGCGACTGGGCTCTCCTCTGCACACGGCAGAGCAATTTTCTCTCTTTGTTGCCCCTGAACGTCATTCAAGCGATTTTGAGGCCTGCAAAATTGGCTCTTCAGCCACAGAGATATTTTGAGCTGAGTAGAAATTCAAAGCCCACGTGATTCTCTTGTCTCTCAAGTGACTTAAATGCATCATTTGATTTTAAAATCAAAATGAAATGAAAAAGAAGCTTGGGTTCCTCCCAATTGTGACCTTTAATTGTGGAATATCCTGATCTTGTGCCATTCATATATCAATCAGTCTTCAGATTTCTGTGTACCCTTTTTATCTGAAGGGAACCAAGCAGAATTAAAGTCAAGAATTCTTGTGGTTTTTCAACTTTTCCTTCCACACAATCAATAGAGCCATTTATCCCTTATTCTTATAAACAATAAGCAACAAAGATAGGATCACTAAAGACAGCTACTGATCACAATTCTTGTTTAACACATATACATTTGTGGGGTAAGTTAATAAAAATAGCATAATAATAAACTTATTGTCTAATGAAATGTTGGACACTCAGTTATGCAGCATACATATAGTGAATGTCTACATGTTATGTTTTGATCAAGACTTTTCAGAACACAGGAGAGAAGGCACCATTGGTATATTTACTGGGATACTGCTCCAGAGCACCCTTTTCTGAAATTCCCAGCTCCATTTTCAAACCCTACTTTATTCATTGTCTTCCCTTTTGTCTACTTCCTTCAATCTTACCTAACACTTATTTTTCTAATTCATTATCCACCTGTGTCACATGCCAAAATGGGTTCTTTTTGTCTCAAGAAATCGGTGAGCCTTTATTTGATCCAGATGTGATGTATTAATCCTTCTTACAATCTGTGATACAACTTGTAACCTTCTCAAAATCCATAATTTGAAATATCCTATATTCTTTCCTTTTCCTTTCTCAATGTCTATTTTTCAAAGCTGAATGTTGCAGCTTGAAATATTGTTGCTTTAACTCTTCTAATTTTTGTTGTCATTGAATTATCTTTAGTCTTCATAATCATGTCTAAGTTTTGCATTGTCTTACTTCCTAGGATTAATCTTTTTTTTTTTTTGAGCACACTGTCTACCTTAAGGTTAAGAAAACAAAAGTACCTTTCACCTTCACAGCTATCAGTTCATTCAGCATGCTGGCTGACATGTACCTGGATTTTCTATTTCTTTCTCATAATAAATTTACTTTGGTGATGCCTATCTACAAATTTGAAGTTGTTAAAGTTTTGACTCTACTTTTTCTTCTTCTAAATCTATCATTGTTATATTGTATTTATACTGTAACATAAAAGAAATAAGTGCTCTTATACATGGCCCTTGACTTGCAACCATTCATTTAACAGTTGTTCAAAGTTACAGTAGTGTTGAAAAAAGTGAAATTATTGCTGGGCTTTGCACTTACGATTGTCACAGCATTCCCATGGTCACAATCAAAATGCAGGTGCTTGGAAACCAGCATGTATTTATGACAGTTGCAGCATCACAAGGTCATGTGATTGCCATTTACGATCTTCCAGGTGTGGGGGTGGCAAGCAAAGTCAATGGGGGAAGCTGGATTCCCTTAACAGCCATGTGATTTGCTTAATGTTGTGGCACAAAAGTTCATAAAATGAGATGCAATCCATTGAAGTGCAAGGCTTAGTGATGGAAGTTCCCAACTGTGGTCATAAGTTGAGGACTACCTATAACTCCTATATATCTGTATATAAAACTCATCTTGATTACTGTCCTAATAAAAACCCAACAATGTTTTGGGAAGCAATACTTAACTTCAGCAGTTTATTCAGTTTTGTTATGTTGGCAAATCTTTTTGTTTTGTCAGACATCTTTGGCAATCCCATGAAATAAACTAAGCGTGCAGATAGGAGAACTGTCTTGTTCTTCTTTTCATCCCTTATCATCCAAGAAGCTTCTTAGAGTTTCTTCAGCTGTCTTCAGAGCTGAAGACAGCTGAAGAAGGTTCTTGGATAAAAAGCAAAATGTCTTCAAAGAAAAACAAGAAAGTCCAGTTGCCTCTTGAAAAAGCATCTTTGGGACAACTATGACCTGGATGATTGAGAATCTCCGTAGACAAATAGGAGAAATAGATTGGCCAAGCTTCATTTGTAAATCCCTTTTATAAAGATTTTCCAAGAAAGCAGAGATGCTTCATGCCAATTGTCTATGTAAAAAGCCTTAAGTAGCAAGTCTGAAAAAAAAGTTAATCCAAGTTTATTAAAATCCTAAGGATGATTATTTGAATTGATACAGAATAGGCAAACACAGAGAATCCTCTCTTCTTCTTTCTGTTTGCACATAATCCTCCTGAAACACATCCTTTCTGAAATGCTTCTTAGTCCTAGCTATCAACTTCTTGGTGTTGCCCTTAAGATTCTCTAAAAGACAGTCTAGTGGTCAGGAAAATCTTGTGCTCGTATCTCTCACTCTGCTTAGAGTCTAAATATGGCATTACAATAAGGCCAATTGAAAATGCATTTCATCTTTCAGCATTTCATCTGGCTAAACAACAACCTGCTTTTTCAAGAGAATGTTAGTAACAACATCTTATTTTGTTACTAAATCTTAAAATAATCTACAAAATAGGTACAGTTGTTGCCTTCATTTATAGTTATTTGCAGCTGTTGTAAAAACAGACTGAGTATTCTTTGTAAACAACTGTACAGAGTATTTTGCTGTATATATGCAACCATTGTAATGAAAACTTGGCTATTTTTTAGTACATTATAAGGTCATGGTGTATTTTTAGGGGGAAGAGGGACTTGCAGTGGGTTAAAACCAGATGATAAGCATGTGCACAAATGGCTGGGCAGTTTATTCATATGACTAGCCTTTCAGGAGACCCACCTGAAAATCCACAAGCTCTCAAAGTGGTCCTATAAGCAATCAAAATGCTAAAAAACATTGCTACATGCATGAAGAAGATTGTATAAGAATTAATGCAATAAGAATCAAACTCAAGATGTTAATTTATAATAATAAGGTTATTACAGTGATTTAATTGAATGCCACTCATCAGTAACATTGGAAGAAGTATGTTTTTGTTTTTTAACTTGAAGGTGTTATAGTAGTGCTAGTGTTTCCTTTTTCTTTTCTCTTTCTATAGTCCAGGGGATATTGTACTTCTTTTAGCTTTCAATGCACTATAAGCATCAGTAGAGCTACTTCTATCCAAAATAACAGTGACTGAATCACATGGTCTTCAAACTGATTGATTTACCCCATCTTAAACCTCCCCTAGTAGGTCTAAAGCTGTAACACACAAAAGATATAACACTAAACACAGCCTTTTTCTTCAGCTGATAGCTTAAAAGTTAACAGTGAAGGAAACTAAAATATGACCTGTGGCTTGGACATTAGTTCCCAAGTCCTGATCCCTCGTGGCATTTAAACAATCTCAGCTACATGTGGGAAAAGGAAAAAGCTGGTCTCCCTCCTAGGTGCATACATTTCTATTTTGGTAGCCACTTCACCACCAGTGGGCCTTGATTTCCCCAGAGTGTTCAGCCAGCTACCTTGCAACTTCCTTGTCATGCAGTTGCTGCTGAACAGCTGGTGCAAAGACAGTTGCATTTGGCAGTGGGTGAATGATCACTATAGAAACAGCTTACAATGTACTTGGGATGCTGACAAGGCCCACATTTACTTTACCCCCTGACAGTGACAGGTAAAGAGCTAGTGTAAGTCATGTTGTTTCTTTCAAAACACTCACTGGGAAGGCTGCACAGGTTTACATATAAGGTAGCAAAGTAGTATCTGCCCTGAATCTCCTCATAGCAGAACTGTGGTTCAGAGCCCGTTAGCCCTGCAAAGTAGCCCAGATAAAAGAAGCGCAAGTAGGAGTTCTAACTCTACCTTTTCGTAAAGTTACTTTAACAGCAAGATTGAAGGCATTTCTCTCCTCCTTTCCTTTTACTCTCTGGAAAACATGAGAGGGCCTTTCTGAAATGCTTCTCTTTCTGTAACCTGAAATATCTTCACACATTGGTTGTCCAGTCTGCAGCTCTCTCTCCTGTCGCCCAAGGACATTCCCATGTACCAATATGTACTGTATGCCAAGTATGAAATATGGTCCTGTCTCTATGAAGACAAAGAAATGGAGGCATGAGGATCACTTTCAACTGTTTCTCTGCCCAGGAGGAAGCAATTAAAATTACGGTATTTCATATACAGTTTGCCTATCAGACCTCAGCATTATGGAC